GTGAACAAACTGTCAACATACACCTGCATGCACATTCAACAAATGTGTTTCCTATTCAGTCTCTATTCTCTTTATTTCAAATTGAGAGCTATCTGGAACACCTGTATTTGACTGCAGAAACAAGTAAGAATTCACTCAATATCCTGCTAAAATGTTAGAATTCTGGCTCCACATCAAATAACTGGCTCCACATACAGATCCTCTTCCATTCTATTAACAACAGCTTTAGGCTCACTGTTTTGGTGCCAGCTGGATTATTATTTCCAATAAAAGTGAGGGTGAAGGGGCTTGGCCCGGGGGGAGTTTGGGGTGGGGGGTGCTACGGAAACAAATAGCAGGATTTTAAAATGTGCTCCAATGAAAACCTGTCCAAATAGAAAACCCTTATGAGTACTTTATACATTTTCAAGCTGAGACTTAACTTAAAAATATAAATTTATGTTTTGATATGAATCCATTATGAACAAAGGAATGAATTACAATTTTACCTCTTGTAACTCATTACATGTATTTCTATTGAGAGGGATCTCAAAGCTCCCTATAGAAATACTCAATTGGCAGGATTTTTAAAAATTCATTCACAGGAAGATAGCATTGTTGACAAGACTGACATTTGTTGTTCATCCCTAGTTGCCTTTTAAAGAATGTGTTGGTGGGCCACCTTTCTAAACCACTGCAGTCCACAAGATGAAAAAGGCACTCACAGTCCTGATGAGAAGCTGTTACATTATTTTTAGTGAGGCTGAAGGAAAGGCAAACTACTTCTAGGTCAAAATGGCTTTTGGCTTCAACCTCTTATGTCTGATGTCCTTTCTTACTATGTGGCAGAGATCAGAGTTTTGCGAGGTACAATTGAAGAAATCTTGTTGACTTAATGTAGTGCATCCTGTAGATAGTATAGTTATGGTCAGGATTCAATGTTTAGGGTGGTCAATGCAGCACTAAGCAAAGTTTTTGTTTTAAATAACGTCAAGGGTCTTATGTATTGCTTGAACTGCACGCATCTCAGCAAATTGACAGTATTCCTTCATATACCTAACTTATGTCTTGTAGGTAGTGAAAAAGCTGAGAGAGGAGCTGAGGTCATTCACCACAAATTTCCCAGCCCAGCCTCTGTTCTGTTATTATAACTATTATATTTACAGATGGCCAGTCCAGTGAGGTTTTGGATCAGTGGTGACTCGCAGGATAGCAGGGAATTTAATGATGATTCCATCACTTAACGTTAAGAGCAGGTGCTTAGATCCTTTTGTTGGAAATATATTTCTTGACATTAACGTCAAGTAACATCTAGATTAAATATCTACCCCAGCCTAGACATCATCCAAGTCTTTGGCATGCAGGGATGAACAGAGTTGCAAATAGGACCGAACATTGCATAATTGTAAGGATTCCCACTGTTAAAGAATTGAGAAAGCAGCTGAAAATTGTTTCTGTCTTGGATGCTGCCATGAAGAATTTCTGCAGCAGTATCAAGGCATTGAGATGATTGACTTCTAAAAATGACAACCATCTTTCTTTGCGCCAGTTAAGCCCCCAAACGGTGGGAAATTATCCAGCCTCTTACAATTACCATTGCCTTCAACTTTACTAGGGGCCTCAAATGCAACCCTCTGTCAAGGTCAGATATGTTCACCACACCTCTGGAATTCATAGTGGGCAAAGGCTATAATGAAGTCTAGAGCTGAATGATGCCAAGCAAATATTATTTGCAAGATTACCTGGACAATTCCCCACATTTTCTGTCGACTGCCCCAGGCCACAAAAAGCATGGAAAATCCAACTGAGTCGATTACCCACTCTTCCACCTACTCTCAATCACCAAAGTGACGTTGTAGCTCTACTGGAACAGGTTCGCTCAGTGAGGCAGCTGGTCCAAGAGTTCAAGTCTTCAACACAACAACTAAGTGCGTTCTTAACCATTTCCTGATATCATGTGCAATAAATCGAATTGATCGAAGATGGGCTTCTGTGATAATGAGGATCTCAGGAAGGAAATGAAAAGTTGGAAACACTTGCACTTTACACTCTCAAGCTTGGACTGAAGAGAAGAAGGTTTCTGAAGCCCATTAGTTATTTAATTATTCACCATCATTCACAACCGTGTGGCAGGACTGCAGAGCTTTTATCTGATTCAGTGGTCATGGGATTGTTAAGGTTTAACTGCAGTTTAGCATGCATGTGTACACAGTTTCACTGGGGTGATATCTAATTTTTGGATATAACTCGTACTGCTCTTAAGCAGGATGCGCTCATAGAGAAGGTCTGCTTCGACATCCAGTTCATCCTTCCTAATATTCCCATTCTGATATCTTGTCATTGCATTTTCCAAACGAATATGCAACTCAGTATGAACTGAAGGGTGCATTCACAGTGTATGTCAGTGCATCATATAACTTAGAATCCACACAACTTCACTGGCTCAAAGTACAGATTTTTTTTTCTGTATTCATTCACAGGATGAGGGTGTTGCTGGCTAGGCTGCATTTATTGCTCATCCCTAATTGCCCAGAGGGCACTTAAGAGTCAACATATAGGCCAGACCAGGTAAGGATGGCAGTTTCCTTCCCTAAATGACATTAGTGAACCAGATGGGTTTTTCCCGACAATTAACAATGGATTCACGGCCATCATTAGATTCTTAATTCCAGATATTTATTAAATTCAAATTCCACCATCTGCCATGGCGGAATTCGAACCCGGGTCCCCAGAACATTATCCAGGTCTCTGGATTAACAGTCCAGCGACAATACCACTAGGCCATCACCTCCCCTTCGGTTTGCATTACACTTCCTAACACTAAGGCCAAGAAAGTTCAAATTCCCATATCAATTGTTGCAAATACTCTTTTGTTCAAGTCAAGTCAAAGCAGTACATATGAATCGCAGAATCCCTACAGTATGGCAGGCCATTCGGCCCGTTGATTCCACAACAGCCCTCCAAAGAGCATTCTACCCAGACCCAACCAGCTAAACTATCCCTGTAACCCTGCATCCCTGCATTTCCCATGGCCAAACCAGTTAGCCTGCACATCCCTGGCCTGTAGGAGGAAACTGGAGTACCCGGAGGAAACCCACACAGACACGGGGAAAACATACAAACTCCACACAGACTGTCACCCAAGGGTGGAATAGAACCCAAGTCCCTGGAACTGTGAGGCAGCAATGCTAACCACTGAGCCACCGTGCTGCTCCATGCCACCTGATTATATTCAGTTTCACCTTGCTACCATCATCCACAACAGTCATTGTTCTGCATAATTACTTGCCTATTAGCAGCATCAAACCTAATGTCTTTTTAACTTCTACCAGAAACTCTGCATTTGCGTTGTCGGTTTTTCAGATGTTTACTCTAGTCAATAATTTGGTTTGGTATGTGATCCTCAGCTGACAGGCTAAACCCCATATCACATCTACAAGCCGCAGGATTTCAAAATTTTCCTCCTTTTCAAATTCCACTATGTTGGTGATCTCCTCCACCATGATGCTTCTGCATACGATCTGCGCACATGCTGCATGCTTCTTCCATTTACTATTGGTAGTCTGTCACTCGTCCATACGCACATTAGGATCTTCTGAAGTCATCCCTAAACTGCTCAATGTCAAGAACGCCTCCTAGGGTGTTCACTTTGGCCACATCTTTGTGTCCCCTCCTTTTCCTCAAACTTCTTCTTTGGGGTGTCTAACAATGTGATAAAGTGCAATAAGTATTGGAGATTGTTCTTTAATTTTTCTATAATCTTGTGAATATTTAACTAAGTTTTTCAATCTATACTTTAATACCATATTATAGCACAGACTGCTCAGAATACCTTTCTTGTCTGGCTTCTTATCCGGTTTATCTTTCTTTTTCTTGTTTTCATTCACTTCTGGTGTTTGTTCAGCTGCAGTTGGAGTAGCCAGTGCAGTTGTTGGAGACATAGATGCTGCAGAACAGGACTGAACTGAAGCTGCTGTTGGAAGTGGAACTCGTTTCACTGGAATTTAAACATTTTCATGTTAGAGAGGTTACAGAAATCAACATGAATGGCACAGATATAGCGTCTTTCATTTATAGACTTCAGGAGTTGACAAATTAGTTTGGATAATTGAAGAATCTTGAAACAGTTACTCCAAATACCATAATGTGCTCCCAATGTAATGCCATTCATCAGAAAACATGAATTTAAACATACTAACAAGAAGCATGGGATCCATACCTCGCACACAAGGTAATAGTAAGACAGTGAGCTTCAAGAATTTTACTTTCAGACTTCAGCCTTTTAGAGAGATGATGGAACAGAAAGCTACATGTACAAAATTGCTTATCAAATAAGGACTGTAGTAGAAAGTATAAGGTATCAAGGAGACACTGATAAATTAGGTGAATGGACAAATCTGTAGCAAATAAAGTACGTTACAAGTGGCAAAAGGCTGGAGGTCGATAGAGACTTAAGCATCCTGATGTATAGACCAAAATACCATGAACAACACAAAAAAAAAAATCAAAAGATTAAAGGAATACTGACATTCCAATCTTCTGGATATCAAGACAAGGGAATAGAAGCCATGCTTTAGCTTTACAAAGCCTTGGTTCAGTTGCTCAGAGTATGTTGAGCTTTTCTGTGCAGTACACTCTAGGCAGTGTGCACAGATTGCATCACAAGTCTCTCAGAACGATACTTGGACTCCAAAGATACATCATAAGGAGAAATTACAAAAGCTAGGCTTAAATTCCTTGTAAATTAGAACATTAAATGGCAACTTGATCAAAGTTTTTAAAGATATTTAGGGAAACAAATAGGTTAAAGAGAGAAATTACTTCCATTTGTTGAGAAATCTTGAGTAGGAGGAATAATCAAAGAACTGAAACTGGACATTTAATGAAATACTCCTGCTCACAAAGGGTGGGCGATGCTTGGAATTCTCCTTTGTAAATGGCAATTGATTTTAAGTAAATAGTTAATTTAAAATCCGAGATAAAATCTTAAATACTTCGAATCAATCTGTTCATACTTGTTATGACACAGTCTGAAGCAGGGGGGACTTGAATGTTCGTCTTCTGACCTAGAAATAGGGACACTACCACTGCACCACAAAAAACCTGTATTCTGATATCAATGGACTTTGGTTAACCAAAGATTTTAAACAATATGGGGCAACAGTGGGTATATGGAAACAGTTCACAAAATGACAGTGGAACAGGCTCAAGATCTTAGCTGCTTACATTCCTAGTTATCCCAGGTGTCCTGGGCACTATTTGTCCCTCAATCACAATTGAGGAATCAGATTATCTGGCCATTACCAAACTGGCATTTGTTAGAAGTGGCTATGTACAAATTGGCTACCCATTTCTTAGATTGCAAGTATCTAACTATATTTCAAAGTAAGTACAGAATTGGCTATAAGCACTTTGGTATGTCATGCAATCATGTAGGGAATTATATAACAGATTCCTCTTTCTTTATCACAGATTTGTGTTAAAAGAGAAGTGGGAACGGCGTCAATGCGACATTGCAGGAGGAGACATTGCAAAATGTTAATGAAGCAAATGACCAGTAGCTGCTGGATGGGCTGGAAGACAATTGATGCTTTTCAACACGGTCACAATTAGTTCCTTTACTTCAGTAGTTTTGAGTAGAAATACAGTGGGAGTGCATTGTTTTAGTCTAATCAAACCTAATGGTACGCACGTATTTTATGAAAGACATCAACGCAACAAGCATAATTAAATCAAGATGGTTTTCCAGATCTAAAGGAATGAATGAGTTATAAAATATTCCTTGCCAGCAGAAATAAATCAGTTTCTTCACAAATGGATAAAAGCCCTAGAGAATGGAAATATTATTTCTACAATTATCTCCAATGACCATTGTTAGTTGGTTAGCTTTTAGTGTCAAATAAGCCAAGACTGGATAACTCTATGATATATTGCAAGACATCCTGAAGAGACAAGAGAGTCAAGTGATGTGAAACAGATGCATTGCACAAATTATGGTGGAACGTAAGGAAAAGGACTGGGAGATGAACTTAATTACCAGAAGGGATCAGAAAATTAATTAATGGGTTACTAGAAGTGATCCAAGACAGCAGTTCACTCAGCAGAAGTGCTGGCTTGATCCACTGAACAACTGGCCAGAGAACTTTAGTTATGACAACCTACAAAAGCGTATTTAAAAAAAAAATCAAAGACAATGTTGTTTTCAACCTCAACCACCATTGCGCAAACAGGAGTGTCAGTGGTGGCTCGGAATCAAGTTAATGGGTTCAAATCCCACTCCAGAGGTTTGAAGATATAGTCTTGGGTGTGCTGCAGATTTACAAGCGAAATCATTAAGCCCTCATCTGTTTAATCAGATGAATGTAAAAAATTCACTTGCAACGTTCAGAGATTTCCCAGCATTCTGATCAGCAATCTCTCTAATTGAACATTAAAACACACTGATTTGGGCCTGGCTATGCATGATTTGGTTGTTGCATTTCCCTGTGTAAAATCAATGACTCCACTGTAAGAAGATACTTCATTGGTCATTAATTGCTTTGGGTTACCTTAAAAACATAAAAGGCATTATTAAATATCTGAATTTCTCTCTGTTTTGGTTTCAGTAAGTAAGATCAGAAATTGATTACAAGTGCTTAACTTCTCTTCCTAACATTTTAGACATTTTGTAGTCCAGAATCTGCAATCAAACCAATGATTATATTATACAAGGATGCTTGAGTGAAAAGTATAGTTAAGAACTTAATTAAATGGTTGATGCTTTTCTGAATACAAAAAGTTGATTAAAGAAAAATAAAACTACCTGTTATAATTTGAATCAAAGAGAGAGAGAGAGATCAGGAAATTCTTTGCTAAATTTGATAAGAATAAAATTATATCTCCCATAATTAACTGATAGAAACATTTAATTCATTAGCAAATGATTAACGAAAGGAACCCTCTCCCATTTAAACGTATAAATTATTTGGTTCTAAAGGTCCAACACCGAATTTGCCACTAATCAAGGTATGAAGCTCAAGATGGACGACAGGTAAAATAATTTAAAGTTTCAGAGAAATTAAGTAATTTAAACACCAAGCTAAGGATACCAAACACCAGCATGAAGAACAACTTGAGAGAAACATAGAAGGGGCTGAAACTCGCTAAGCAGAAATTTATGGATTTTAGAAAACAGCAAAAAATCAAGACAAAGAAAGAAAACATTTTTCAAGTGCAAGAGTTGTGAAAAGGTTTTAAAAAAGTCACTAATTACATGATCTTAAATTCGCTGAAAATTGAATTAGTTCCACGCTTATAACGTACAATAAACATGCTATGACAAAATTGGCAGAAGGTGGTTAAATTTTAGGGATATGTAACTTCCAGGAGTCAGCATGGCTTTAAACAAGGAAACTCATGTCTGACAAACTCTGTATTGTTTCATTTTTGAATAAAGTACCTTAGCATACATACAGAACAGACATGATATAAAACTGTATTTTAGTTCAACTTCAGACAAGGTGTTTCATGCAATAAACATTGGGAAATCCTTCAAGCAAATGATAGATGGATCAAATCTGAATTGGGCAAAAGAAAGAAAAGCTGTGCCAAAATGGTGTCAAGAATTTCTTCAGGTATCCTGCTTAACTGCTCTGATTAATGTAAAATCTTGCAATTGGGATATGAAATAAGCAGTGGAATTGTGGAAATGATGGGTAAATGTGAACTAAATATAGAGGAACCAGAGAAGTCATTGTAGATAAACCACCAGAGTCAACAGAACATAGGAACAGAATATAAGAGCAGCAGGAGACTGAGACTATTGGACCTTTTGAGCCTGTTCTACTAGTCAAAACGATCTCTGTTCATCTCACTCCGCATCTATTCTGGCTTTCTCCTCATATTCTCATACTTCTTCGGGCTACAGGAATTAATCTATCTCCTTGAAAACATTTAATGTTTTGGCCTCAACCACTTTCTGTGGCAGAGAATTCCGCAGGCTCACCACTCTCTGGGTGAAGAAATTTCTCATCTGTCCTAAAAGGCCTATCCCTCATCCTTAGACTTTGATCCATAGTTCTAGACTCCAGTCATTGAGAACAACCTTCCTGCGTCTACCCTGTCTAATTGTTTTAGAATTTTAAAAAGGTTGCTATAAAATTCCTCACATTCTTCTGAATTCAAGTGAATATTGTCTCAACTGATCCAGTCTTTCCCGATTATCTTAGGAATCAGTCTGATAAACCTTCTTTGCACTTCCCCAGTAGCCAGAGCATGCTTCCCCAGATAAGGAGACTAAAATACTCAAGGTGTGGCTTTACCAATGCTCCGTGCAGTTGCAACAAGACATCCTTGCTCCTGTACTCTAATCCTCTCATTATGAACGCAACCTGCTCTGAAATTCAGAAATGCTAGTTACATGGGAACATCTGTAAAAAGGACAGGAAAATATCATCTTCTGACGAAAGGTCACAATTTCAAATATTAACTCTGTTTCTCTGTCCACAGACGCTGCTAGACCTGCTTGGTATTCCCAGCCTTTTGCTTTTATTAACAACCAGCTTGTTCATTCAGCTCATCACATTTTGCAAGGCTGTAACTTCTCTCATCATAACCACCTCATCTCCAGGGAAAAGCAAAAAGCAAAGGCCGAAGTAGGAAAAAGACTCTGGGAAATTTCTCTCCAAAGCGAAGAAAGGAAGCTCCAGGTGACCATGGTGATTGTACCAACAAACCACAAACAGGACATATTATTCAAACAGTCTCAGTTAACAAAAGTAGACTATCATTCAAATGCATGCATAGCTTATAGTTATAACTTCCTTAGTGGTACAAAGGCCTACCTCCATTACGGATTTCTGCTTCAATGAGATTTTGTTTTAAATCCTCAATTTCTTTCTTCAACTTTGCATTTTCAACCCGAAGTCTCTTTTCTTCCCTTTGGGAAGCCTGCAGGACTGAATTAACCGAAACACAATATTTTAATGGGATATGTTTGGTACGTGCAAACCATTGACTCTAATGTATCCTTTCAGAAAAAGTTTCAACCTATGTCAGAAATCAACAGATAATTCACACAATTAGAAGACTTCGGAATGTAAAATGTACACACAGATGGAAACTGGGTCTTTCAAAAGCAGAGATAGTAGGAACTGCAGATGCTGGAGAATCCGAGACAACAAGGTGCAGAGCTGGATGAACACAGCAGGCCAAGCAGCATCATAGGAGCAGAAAGGCTGACCCCTGAAGGGTCCAGGCCCGAAACGTCAGCCTTTCTGCTCCTATGATGCTGCTTGGCCTGCTGTGTTCATCCAGCTCTGCACCTTGTTGTCTCTTTCAAAAGCATATGTCCATTAGAAAGTAGATTGAAGAGAAAGCAAACTACTTTTGCTTAGGCAACAGTCGAGGTAACACAGAAGATGGCACTGGATAGGAATCCAGGTGCCAAATTGGAAGGCAATGTCTAATACAGTTCATCATAGAAACATAGGAACAGTGGAAGGCCATTCAGTCTGCTCTGCCATGCAATCATGGCTGACTGAATACTTCAATGCCTTTACCCATCCAAACCCCATAACTCTTCCTGCCACTGATCCATTTTTGATTATCAATCGCTACTTTAAATATACTCAAAAATTAGGCTTCCACAGTCCTGTGGGAAAGCGAATTAGAATGGTTCACAATCCTTGGAGTAAAAAATATTCTTATCATCTTGGTCCTAAATGGCATCCCCTGTTTTTAAATTGTGCACCCTGGCCTACATTCCCCACCCAGGGAAAATATCTTGCCTGCATCTACTTTGTCTATCCCTTATAAGTATTTTGCAAGTATGAATCAGACAACCTCTCATCCTTCGAAACTCGAGAATTCAGGCCCAGTTTGCCTATTCTCTCTTTATAATACAGTCCTGCCATCCTGGGAACAAGTATGGTGGATCTTTGTTGCATTCTCTCAATGTTAATAATACCTTAACTGAGGGGAGGAAACAAAACTGCAGAGTACTCCAGGTGCAGTCTAATCAAGCTCCAATGTAACTATTGCAAGACTTCATTACTCCTGCACTCAAATCTTCCTGTGATAAGAGGTTGACACTTCATTCACCTTCCTAACAGCTTGCTCAGCTACATGTTACCCTTCATCAGCTTATTGAAAATAACACTGAAGCCTATTCGCACATCTACAATTTCCAATATCTTGCCATTCAAGAAATACTTTGCACATCTGTTTTTCCTACCAAAGTGGATAGCTTCACATTTTTCCACATTATGTTCTACCTGCTACGCTCTTGTCCAATCACTAACCCTGTCAAAATCCTCCAGAAAATGCTTTACTTCTTGCTGGCAACAAATTCCTGCTTAGCTTTTTATTCATCTGCAAATTTGGAAATATTACATTTGGTTCCTATATCCACATCATTGATATTTATTGTGAACAAGTACAGCAGTACCCCATTAGTTACAGTCTGCCACACCCTATTTTCTCTGTTATCCAAAGACAGTATATTACATCCTCTACCATGTACTTAAAATTTTGCTAGCTAACCTCCTGTAAGGGAACATTTCAAAAGCCATGTGAAAATCCAAATATACTACATCCAATAACTCCCCTTTAATCAATTTTGTTAACATCCTCAAAAAACTCCAACAAGTTTATCAAACACTATTTTCCATTCACAATGCCTCGCCATGCCCAATCAGATCATTTTTGTCCAAGTGTACATTTATCAGAACCTTTATGATAGATTCTAGCATTTCCCTACAACTGATGCAAGGTTTTTCTATATCTGCAGTCCCCTGTATTTTTTCTTGCTCCTTTCATAAACAGTGACAATACATGCATCCTTCTAATTTGCTGGAAGCCTTTCAAAATCAATGGAATTTTGGATGATGATTACCAATGCATTAATTATAATTCACCTCTCGGAATGTTGAAGGTGACTACCAGGTCCTGGGGACTTTACAACTTTCAATCCCAATAGTTTCGTCAGTACAACATTCTTATAATTTCTGTTAACTCCTCATTCTCCCCAGTCACTTAAATCTCCAATTCTAGAAAACATCTTGTACTGATCACAGGGAAAATAGACACCAAGTATTCAATCAGTTTCTCTGCCATTTCTCTAATCCCCATTATAAATTGTCCTGATTCATCTTAGCCAAATCTTTCCTTTTTACGTAACTGTAGAAGGTTTTACAGTCTTTTTTTATGTTTTTGCTCAACTGCATTCATTCTATTCCTAATTTTCCTATTAGCTTCTTGGTTCTCATTTGCTATATTAGAGAAACTTCCCAATCCTCAGATTTATTATTAGTGGCCATTATACAAGCCTTTTCCTTTATAAGATTAAAGTACTTAACTTCCTTTGTCAGCGATGGCTTGCTGACCTTTTAGTGTCCTGAAGGAATGTGCAACTGGCTTTCTTTAAAGACTGCTGATTGCCTAGGTAGATCCATGCCTTTTAATGTATTTTCCCAATCCAGTTTAGCAAATTTGTGGCTCATCCTTTCATAATTTCTTATTCAAAACTAACACCCTCACTACAGATTGAGCTACCTCAGAATTTTACATTATGTGTGAAACTATCATATTGTGGTCACTCACCCCTAAGGGTGCTTTCACAACAACATTGATTAACTTTTTTAAAAAAATTACATTGTACTAAATCCAAAATAACCTATCCCCTAGTTGGCTCTTCAACATGCTGCTCTAGAAAACCATGGTTAAAACACTCCAGAAGCTCAACCTCCACTGCTTTAGTGCTCAATTGCATTACCCTGCCAATTTGCAGATTGAAGTTACTCATGATTGCTGTGTTACACATGCTACAAACTTCTCTCATCTCCTGAGTTATACCATGCCCCATACCAGCACTGCTTTTTGGGTGGCCTATAAGTAACTGTAACCAATATTTGCTGCTACTTGCTGTTTCTTAGCATCATCCAAAAAGATTTTTCACATTGATTTTTCCCAAACTGAGATCCTCCCTTACTAACATACTGCTAATATCTCTTATTATGAGCGCAACCCTACTTTGTTTGACTTTTTGTCTGCCGTTTTTAAACATTGAATATGCAAGGATATTCAGTTCCCAGCCCCGGTCACCACACAGTCATATTTTTGTAATGACAATTATCATAACCATTTGCCTTTGTGTGTGTCTTTAAATCATCTATCTTGCTACAAATGTGCGCATTCAAGTAGAATGCCCTTAACCTTGTCTTTGGCATCATTTTGCATTCGAAGCATTTGTTCCTCCTGTCGTCTAGTCTCCCGTGCAGCTTTTCTACATCCTGTTACTAGCGTAACTCCTTTGCAATTTGGGTTACTCCTCAGGCTCCATCACCCTGACTATTCCATCACCGAATTACCTCACTATCAACATCCTGGCCAGAATCTGAACTAGACTAGCAATATAACTACTGTGGCTACAAGGGCAGGTCAGAGGCTAGGAATACTACAGCCTGTCCACTAAACACGGCAGGTGGAACTAGTTTAGTTTGGGAACACGATCAGCGTGGACTAATTGGGCAGAAGGGCGTTTCTATGAAGTATGATGCTATGACCCTAAATCAGGACTGTGATGGAATACTCCCCACTTGCCTGGATGAATGCAGATCCAAGAAGCTCGACACCATCCAAGATAAACAGCCCACTTGATTTGCACGATTTCCAAAAACAGTGATTCCACCACCAATGCTCAGTCGCAGCAGTAGTGTGTACCATTTACAAGATGTAATGCAGAAATTAACAAAGGTTCCTTTCCAAACCCATGGCCACTATCATCTAGAAGGTCAAGGCCAGCAGATACATGGGAATATCACCACCTGCAAGTTTCGCCTCCAAGCCATTCATCATCCTGATTTGAAACCATACCATTGTTCCTGAAGTGTTGCTACTTCAAAATCCTTAACTCACTCCCTACAGGTTTCTGGGTACACCCACATCAAATGGATTTCAATAATTCAAGAAGGCAGCTCAGCACCAACCACTTTCTAGGAACACAGGAGCAGGAGTAGGTCATTCAATCCCTCGAGCTTGTTCCACCATTCAATAAGATCATGGCTGATCTGTAGCCTAACTCATGCCTTGGGCCCATATCCTTTGATACCCTTGTTTAATAAAAATTTGTCTCAGATTTAAAGTTTAATAATTGAATTAGCATAATCAAATGCCATTTGAGGAAGACAGTTACAAACATCCACTACTCTTTGTGAGTAGAAATGCTTTCCAACATCTCTCCTGAATTGTCTGGCCATAATTCTAGACCAAGCCCCTATTCTAGAATCTTCAACCAGAGGAAAATGTTTATATTTATCTACCCTGTCTTTCCCTAGTAATATCCTGAAGACTGTGCGTTGATGACCCTTAACCTCCTAAATTCTACAGAATAAAGGCCTAATTTGTCTAATCTCTCCTCAATTTAATTTTGAGCAGCAGGTAACATCCTTGTAAACCTGAGCTGAACTGCCTCTGGGGCCAAAATATCCTTCCCAAAGTGATAGTGCCCCAGATCTGCTCACAGTACTGATTGGAGTCTAACCAGGGTTTTGTATAAGTGCAGTATAGCATTTACATCCCTATACTCCAGTCCTTTCGATTTGAATGCCAGCATTCCATTAGCCTTCTTGACTATTTTCTGAACCTGTCTGTGGCATTTTAAACAGCTACATACCTGAACTGCTAAATCTCGTTGGACATCCAGTGTATTTAACTTTGTGCCTTCTGAAAACAAAACAGCCTGATCAATCCTGTTTCGGCCCAAAATGGGTAACCTCACACTTGCTTATGTTAAAATCCACCTGCCACAGCTTCGCCAATATGCTCAATCTATCAATATCCTGTGTAATTTTAAACTGTAATCAACAATGTCTACAAAGCTCCCAAGTTGTGTTGTAAGCAAATTTGGATATATGCTTTAATGCAATTACTCAAGTCATTAATGAATATTGTGAATAAT